CCTCTTCCCTTCTCATCACTTCATCCAAAATGCAAACGCTAGCCCTATAAAAACACAAAAGCAGCAACAGTAACTTCAACTAGGTCTTTCCGTGAGCCAGTTAGATGTGCAAAAAGCATTAAGCAGGTGCATGGATATAGATGGAGTGCAACCTCTTTCATGCCTGTATGTCAGTTACATAGATTTTCACACTTTGTGCCTTAAAAAACATTTACTGAATACATACCATGATTGCTCAATTCATTGTGCTGCTCCACTTGACAAACATTATGCTAGTCCTTTGAAATCAGTGGAGTTATATCACTGAAATAGCATAGTGGTGAATTAAGCCTCCTGTATATTTCAAACTGCAGTTGCTTTAACTTTTTATCATCATAGTTAATATGTATACAGCATGATATTTACAATAGATATGTATGCCCCTTACAGTACTAACATATGCAAATACAACACTTTCTGATAAAACAAAATACCATTCTTCACAAGATCTGAAAATACTTTTATTTATCACAGTAGTGTCCTATCAAAACACAAGTTGCACAAGTAAATTAGGGGAGGAGATACCCAAGGTAACATAAATACTGCTATCAAACACAATAGAGGACTATGGCTTACAGTAGGATTTAGCATCATACCTTTTATTACTTAAGTGAAGCTTTCTTTTGCTGGAGAAAATGTCAGATTTTTGGGATTAACTCGACTTTATCTTTTTGAAATCTCCATCCACAGACCCAAATCATGCCAGTTTTCTTCTCATTTTCTCACCTAAATCCAATGGCTCTTAAATAATCACCCTCCACAAGGACTGAGAAAAAGTTGTACAATTAGATGTGCAGGTAATTTTTAAATGTGCATTTTTAAAGCTCTTTTTATTATCGCTTTTTCAGAAATACTCATAAATGTAGTATCACAAATAATCCCTCCTAAATTCACAGCATTTAATATGAATTACATATAAATTTTTAAGCATATCAATTGCTGTTTATCTAAGGTGTTATAGTAAAAGTATTAATCTTCTCCCCATTAATAAAAATAAACATATATATGGAAATAAAGTAATTTCCTCTATAGGCAGTCCCCGGGTTACGTACAAGATAGGAACTGTAGGTTGGTTCTTAAATTGAATTTGTATGTAAGTCGGGTACCCCAGGTGTCCCCGATTCAGCTGCTGCTGAAACTGACCAGCGGCTGACTACAGGAAGCCCGAGGCAGAGCTGCTTTGCCCCG